ACATTTTACCCAAATGCTCGGACATGAAGCCTTCTCAGGCTTAGACACGGAGCTCCTTGAGGGCAGGGACTGACTTCTGCCTTTCTTTGTACTTTTAGTGCGTAGTGTGGTTCCTGGCACACAGTAGGTGCTTAACACATGCTGACTTATAAATGCAGAGCTATAAATAGCAATTCTAGTGCTTGGGGCAAGTGATGTGTGTGGAAGAAACCTCAGACCTGGGGACCCCAGGCTCCTACCTTTCCCCCCTCCAATGGAGGGAGGATATGGAAATCTCTGGACCACCTCTCCTACTTGCCACAGCTACTGCTGCGTGGACGGTGACCCCAGGGAAGGGAGAGGGGTAGAAAGAGCCATGGGGAAAAGAGACTACGCCTTCCTGTGTTTACAAACTACTCCTGCTAACTGCACGCAAAGCTCAGGTGTTTCTGCCTGCCTGAGTACTACAAGCACTGGTTAGCACCCTCTACATGTCAAAGCAAGCCCTGATTGCCCTGGCCTAAGGCCAGCTCTGGAGAGATCAGTTAACAAGTCCTTACTCTATTCCAGGCCCTGCAATAGACTCTGGGAACATTAAGACACAAATGCGTTTGTGCTCAGGAGGAATTTATATTGGCATGGCTGGGTGGGGAGAAGCTCTGTACTTGGATCCCAACGCTGATACTTACTTACTGGCTGTGTGACCTTGAGCAAGTCACTTAACCTCCATCTGCCTTCATTTCCTCAATTGTAAAATGGGGGTAACAGTATCCTGACTCCCAGGGGTATTGGGAGGATTGAATGGGATATTTTAAATCTCAAAGAGCTAAATACATGTTAGCAATTGTTCATATACCTGTAAGAAGAGGCTTGAAATAAAAGCTCTCTTGGCTGCCATGTTCTCAGTCAACCAGCCTCTCTTGGTCATGACTTGCAATAGGAATAAAGCTTCTTTCTGACCTTTGCTTACATTATATCGTGATTGGGGGTTTTTCCCCTGCGTTAGATAACTCCTCACATGTATGGGACTCACATCACTGCCTACATCTGAGTCTCTTCCTCAGTGCGACACTAGGAATGAAAACAACAGCAGGATTTATTAAGCGCCTGCTGAGTTCTAGTACCAGCTCTACCAATATGGGACTCATGGGAAAAGTGAGTTAACCTTCAGTCTCGGTTCTCTCATCTACAAATTTAAAGGATCCTAACTCTATGGCTCTGATTCTATCTCTGATTTAAAAAACAGAAGAAAGCAAGAAAACATAATTCAATTTATACAAGTTTCCTTTATCACCGACTTTATTAATGTAAAATGAAGAATATCTGTGCTACTCATCTATGCCTTCTCTTTTTCCACTTCCCCAATTAGCCCTGACCCACTGGAGTAGGTGGATGAGTAGGAAGACCCACCGCCTTCCTTCCCTTTATCTTTCCCTCAACTGTCCAGATCCCATGATGCATTCAGGTGGGAAGACCAAGGATTCCTCCTGATGCTTGCATGCACTGGGGGGTCTCCAATGCTCATCCTTCTGGTGAGACAGAGAAATTGGGGGCCCTGAAGGCTATACCTACATAGTGCCATCTGACCTGCTGATAATACCCTTAGGACTGCTGGGCGTTTCCATCTGCCCTACAAACAAATGCTTATGTGTTGTCTCACTCAATTATAGTTTGAGGTCCTTGAGAGCAGGACTTGTTTCTTTTTTGTCCTTTTTCCTACTTGCATCCCCAGTGCTTAGCACAGGGCTTGGCATACAGCAGACACTTAAATGCTTTTTCATTCATTTGTATACATAACCCGCATTATACCAGTATTTAGATTTAAGGTTGAAAGCTGGGCTTGTCTATCTTTGTTCAACCCACATTTCTTCAATGCTCCAACCTTTGCTTTAGTTGTAGCCAATGGGATGACTTTATAATTAGTACTCCTAAGCTAGTGTCCTTTTTATATACTAGTCCTGGTTAGTAAATATAGTTGCACTTCAGGGAGAAAAATCAAGATATGCTTGAAATGGCTGATTCACTAGAAGAAGAAGTAAAAATCTGGGAGAAGATACATCTGGGCAAATTTATCTGGCATGATTTCTGCATGCATTAGAAAACTCAGTCTTGCCGTGCTTTCCTTTATGAGCTTCCATTTCAGTTAATTGGGATGCTGTGCTCAGTGTTGATTACCAGTGAGGCTGGATGACTTATTTAAGGCCAAGTACACTTATTTTCTCCACGGATTCCAGGTTATCCATTGGTTAGGATTTGCCATGGCTAATAATTCAGAGGCAGCTAATTTAAAATTACTTACTGGCTATACCCTGAATTGTTCAGTGAGACGGTTTTATTCTATTATCTACATGTGATTCAATTCAACAAGCATTTATCAATTGCCCACTGTATTACCTCCATTTAATTCACTTCATTATTTAATTGTCGACTGTGTGCTACCCACATTTAATTCCATTCAACATGTATTAATTGCCTACGCTTTGCTCGAAACTGGGGATACAAATTTTAAAATGAAGGTAATAGTCCCTGCAGGGAGGGAGGAATGGAGGGAAAGAGGCCCCACGTACTGCACCTTTGTAAGGTAGCATCATGGGAATGCCTTTGCTCCAATGACATTTCCACAGATAAGTTCGTATCAGTTCCTTCTGCTGAACCATGTGTCAGGGCCACAGATTTGGGTGGTGAAGACTCTCTTTTCTGCATCTGCAGTAGCTGTAGCTGTGGTCTCCATGGGGACTGCTTCCCGGGATGATGGCTGTGGGGGCTAGGCTGAAAGCAGGACTCCCAGAGCTCTTGGGCATATTTGCCCATTGTTAGTAAGTGGCCAGTGTTGGTGATGACAAGGAAGGGGACTCCTTTGCCACAGGGATTACCCTTCTTGACGATGGCTGTGTGCCAGGCTGTAAGCAGGCCCAGTGATCTGGAGAGCGCTGTTTTTCCTCAAGGCCAGGGCCAGCTCCATCAGGGTCTCAGGGAAGGTGGTGCTGGTGGTTTGACTCACTTGACTATGTTGCCTCCCAGAGAGACACGTCTTGATAACTGATGAGATATGAGGGTTGAGGAAGAGTAAAGAGCCAAGCATGTTTCTGAGGTTGTGAACGTGACCATCGTAAGGATGATGATCATTATGTCTATTTCCATTTTGGCTCAAATTCATTCCAGTGCTTTTTTTCGCTCTCCCTACTCCAACTACGTGAAAAAGTTTGGGTGCTTCTAGGTAGGAGATCTCAATCTTAATTAACTGTAGAGGCAGAAAACAATAGCTGAGGAACATTAAGTGAAGATGAACATGGAGGTACGTGATGTACAACTGTAGGAGATATAATGTACAGGATAAAATCATACCCATTCCTCTTCTGCATCCCTTGCTATCATCCATCACTTGACCTTTTGGGCACGCGTCCAGCTCTTTGAAGATGCATTAAAGTCGGCCAGGTGCAGCACCCGCCAATTCCTTCACTGTTTTTGTATTAATGTTCCATAATAATTCTTTGGGTGACTCCTTATAAAAACAAGAGACATCTGACAGAAGTTAATGAGAAGGATTTTTTATTACTGGATGTCACTGAGGCCAGGCAGGGATTGCACCATATTTGTGTAGGCCATACTGGGGCTGCTTCCTACAAGCTCTTTTGCCACGACCAGGACAGCAGAAGATGGAAGCAATCCTAGATAGCTCTTGACGTTGAATGACTGGAAAATATGCAGAGAGCAAAGGGTTCAGGTTCATCCCAAATGAAGACTGGGGATATTTAACTTGGAGGAGAAAGACTTAGTGGAGAATTAATATACGTCATCGAGTACTTAAACAGTTATCACATGATCACATAAGGACTGTTCTGCTTGGCCTCAGAGGGCAGAACCAGGGGCAATGGGTAGAAGATGAAGGACACAGATTTAGGCCCATGTTAGGGGAAACAAATACCCTCCTTCCCCACCCTCCCCAAACAACAACAACAACAACTAGCCTTCCTAACAATGAGTGCTATCTCCGAACAGAACGGGCTGCTTTGAGAGGGGTGAGTTTCCTCTGACTGCAGGCCTTCAAGCACAGGCCAGGTGACCACTTGTCGGGCACGTTGAAGAAAGGACACCTGTTCAGGGATGAGTTGGACTCAAAGGCTGCTGAGGATCTAAGTTTGAAATTTGGCAACAGGGATTCACTGTTTTACTGTAAACAGGAAAATCCTGGCTGGCTTTTCATCTCAGAGTCATTCTTTATGATCAAAAGGATTAAAATTTTATGATCAGGGATATGGCTCTAAATAACTGATCATCCCTTGAATAGTGGGCCCAATCTGCCATTTAAATTAAGAATGCATTTTCTACTCTGAGCTGTTAACACCAAGTAACTACTATTAAGAGCCCGAGACCATACGCCCATCATTTTTCATTCCAAAAGGCACCTTACTTCATTAAAAAAATTGCCTTATTAAATAAAAAAAAACCCAACACAGCAGCTAACTTAAGTGTTTCCTCAGGTTCAAGATGAACACACTTGGCATCGATTTGAAGGCTATCTCCCCCAGGGCTCGAGCGCATGACTGGCTTCCTTATCACACAACTACACAGTTAGCAGACAAAAGAAAGACACTCTGACCTCTGGCCAGCGATAGGGAATCTATCAGGTCTGTGGAGTTTTCAAATTAGGATATTACTTGATAAAGAAGGGATCCACAGCCTTGGCTTTGAACTATACCATTATAATTAGAGTTCCAAGATAATTGGTGGAAAAATTCAACAAGATGCACTTATGTTCTTCTCTAAAGACAGGGCTGAGCGGCCAAGTAGCCTGAATTGAGAAGCAGCAAGCAATGTGGTGTTTGGCCTACCCAGTAGGAACCATAATGGAAAGGGAACTCTAAGGCCGTACTATAAAGACTAAGCTGATTAGGGGTGTGCTTGCTTTTCTTTGTGACTAAGAAAAGGTGAATCCCTCCAGTGATAGTCTGATAAAAATGCAGGGGGATACAAATACCAACACACACCCATACACACACACTACAAAACCCCAAAGCAACTTTCCTTTGACTATCATACTTTATTTTCTTTCTGGTCATACAAATACGTAATAAAATATAAGGTGCCCCAATAAGTAAGAAAAGAATACAGTTTCCAGATATCAAGCCATCATTTACAAATTAACACTGCAAAACATATGAATTAATAAGTCTTAATTGGTTTACATAAGAATTATAATAGGAAGTAAACAAAATCATCTATTTGATACAGAACAAATAAGAAAAAGCCCCCATCGTCTTAAGATTCTGTCCTCCACAAGGTTTTAAATGAACATAAATCTGTAAAAATGACGTAGCTATTTCTGAACATTCAGTGGTACTTACAAACATGTTTGATTCTGTGCCAAAGTATTCTGGTTCAAAGTGTGGCCACACAGTGCACACGCGCTTGCTGGGGAACACCTGACAAGGCGCTGTCCTGCTGGAGGAGGCCGCCTCCTGGGCCCCAGACAACAGGTTAAGCTAGTTCATAGTACTTCCCGGTCTGGGGATCAAAGTAGCAGTTTAGACACGGGTCATACAGCAGAGTCAGCACTTCCTCGTCCTCTTCGGCACTTAAGTCATCTTCACCTGTATGAAAGAATAAGAAAGATGAGAACCACTAACCGTCCCAAGAACTCACAGAGCTGAATAACATAGGGGGAAATCACATTTACCAAGTGCCAGCCACTGAGCTAAATACTGAGGGCACAAAACAGGAGAAAAGCCCTGCTGTCACGGTGCTTACAGTCTGATAACATGCTGCCTTCTTCAGGATGGTCATTAACGAAAATACACCCAAGATCAACGGCTTTGTTGCTGTGGGAGGTCCCATGATGGAAAGTTCCTGTCACCAGTGACCACCACAAGCCGCCTCTGGCACAGTGGATAACGACTAAAAGGGGGCCCGGGGTACTCCGAGGTCATGTGACTCCGAGGGTCTTACAGCTTATGAAAACATCTGACAGACAAGGCAACAATGCATGTCGGAGGGTGGACCATAAGAACATCTAAAGCAAGATGAAAGGAAGGGATAAAAAAAATAACAGAACTCCAGTGACTATCTAACCCTTCAGGATCTCAACGGGATATTCTGAATACTAGTTACTCTATCACACAAAGAGAGAATCAAGGCTCCGGGTGGTTTCAAGTCACTTGACTGACCTCCATTTTGTCTCTGTTTCCTCATCTGTAAACTGGGGGTCATAAAAGCACCCGCTCGCTGGACTGGTGTGAGGATCAAATGAAGTAATATTTGCAAAGAGCACAGAGGAGGCTCTGATGTAAATGCTTATTCCCAGTAAGAGAGCGTCTACCTTCCTCTGAGGATTCCTGTGAGGAAAGTCCTTTGTAAAGTTCAAAGGGCTTTAGGAATGTAAATCATGATTATTAATCAATTAATAAGCATTTATTAAGTGTTTCCTATGTGCCAGACACTGTGCTGAGTCTGGGATATTTTGGATATATGTTTGGTTATTGTAATTATTTTACAATATGATTATTGTCATTTGAGTTGAAACTCAGTGAACTAAAAAATGGGAACAAGAATGGCATCCTTCGAGCAAAGCTGGGTGAAACGATCTCCCTGTGACACTGAAATGCTTAAACTTCGTCAAAGGATTTTGTTTTGGTTCTAATGTAGTTTTCACAGACTTCGACTAACACCATTTTGCCATTGTAATCACTATGTAATAAAATCATAATATCATTAAGCAATTACCATTATGATGTCAAAGCAATGGGAAATGTTATGAAAAGTAATTACCATGCATGAGTACTATGAAACTTTCAATTACATTCTTGGATCATACAGGGTTAGTTTTTCCTCAAAATGGCAAATTGCTCTATTTAAGGTTGAGCCCCAGCACCTCGACAAGGACGTATTAACAACAACAGCAACAAAATCATTTCCCACTGCTGCCTGGAGAACATCTAGACCTGGGTCCAAATCAGGTTTTTTACCTTTTCCCCATAATAAAATGATTTCTGGTTAAACAGAATTGCCTTTCATTTAATAATCAGCTTATTGGGTTTCAGCCTTATCCACTTTGAGACTGGCTAATGGCAATAACAGAAGAAAAACTAACTCAACCATTGCTAATGCTATGATATTGGCTGTCCGCTGATCTGTCTGTTAAGAATTACTGGGGAGGAATCATTTCTCCAGTTCATTTACTCTTACTGAAAGCCAATTAATGTAAATAATCATCTACATTTAATGCATTTATAATATACATATATATATATAAAAAGGCCAGCCCACAAAAAAAAAAAATCAGGCAGGTTTTCAATCTAGAATATCACTGGTGTGGGAGGCCAGATACTTTGATCACCTTTGAACTCCTTTACTTCTACTTCAATTTTCTGACTCTGCCGTGTAGAAGTATTGTATCTCCCAGACAGAGCTTCAGAAGTGACAGACTACTTTCCTGTGTGCAGAGTGGGAAGGATGTCCATTTGGGGTGGCTTGAGAGAAGGTTCCACCAAATGCAGGGCTTTCCAGCTGTCCCGGAGCAGCCCTCCAGCAAGGCAGCAAAATCGCACGGTGTTCTCAGCAGACGTGAGGGGAAGAACAAGATAAAGGAAAGGCTCAAATATGATTTCTTTGGCAATACAGAATTAGAATCTTATTGCTGCTCAGAAAGCGAGTGAACGACAGGCTGGGAGCACTGACTGCTGTTCAGGCGTCAGCTGGAAAGCGTCTACATCAGACACTGTGGAAGCCAGAAGCAATTTTCTGTTCCGGTGAAATGCCACTTAAAAGAGAATTCTCAAGGTCTGCTTCATCTTGAAGTATCAATATTTCACTGTGTAAACAACTTCTTATAAAGGCAGTGCCAATTTCTAAAAGGACTGTGTTCCCAAAGTCTGCTTATCAATGAACTCTGGAGACCTTGTAACACATTTTCTCATACAAGTAAACGGTGAGCCCCCACTGCTGTCCCCCAAAGAGATGACAGGTAGAGACACAATGGAGGGGGCCAGAAAGTCCCAAATATGATGCCAGTGGGCAGTGTGATCCTTGCCAAGTCCCATCAGTTCCTTGTGTGCTGGGCAGCTCGCCAAGACTACGATGCAGCAGAGGTGTAGACCTGCACTGGAAGAGGGTGTTTCTTCACCTGGGAGTTCTCAATGCCAGTGAAATCACAGGCCCAGTCCCCACTGCTAGGTTTTCAGGCTGCCCAACCAAAGCCTGGTATAGTGGAAAGAGCATGGGCCCTGGGCTGGAGATATGGTTTTGAGTGAGTTACAAAAGCTTGTATCTTCCTTGTGGGGCCCTTCTGGGGGTCCAAAGAGCTGTCTGTGTATGGCATGCAGGCCTCAATGCTTCGAGATCCTCAACACTTTGAGAGCCACGCTTCAATAGGGCAGGTGACTCCTGTCCATAGGCAGATCCCCAAGACCTTTAGCAAGGACCAACATGATGACATGGCTGGTCCTCAGGCAGCCAGCATCTAGCCTCACCTGTCTGGGCCCGTCCACGAAGCCTTTCTAGCCTAAGCATGGTGGGTCACCATTTCATAGCCCTGACAACTTTCGTGAACCCAGGGTCACTTCCATACCCCAATGAAGCATTAGAGCAGGACACGTGCGGACGTGAATATTACCAGCTGAATCCAGAATGCCCCTCAAATACAACACTCGTCATATTATTTCAACTACATCTAACAAACTTTACACCATTGTTTCCATGAGAAAATGAAGTACCAGTTCCAACCAGCAGCACTAAGCCTACATCCTGGAGAGGTGCTTGATACGAGGGAATTGATGCTAGGGTTTTGTGTGCACACGTATGTATATAAGGGTGTGTGCATGCACGTTGCCTATTCTTAATTTAAGATGGTTATCTGAATTACATTTTTTGTTTCTCCTTACCTAATTCCTCTCCTGTCTTTCCACTCTTTCTCCCTCCAAAACCACCTCAGTTGTTCGTGGCTTAAGGGGATGGAGCAGAATCTATTATGCTTCAACTAAAGTTAAAAAAGCAGGGGTAGCAATCCTGATCTCAGACAAAGCAAAAGCAAAAACAGACCTAATTAAAAGAGATAAGCAGGGAAACTTCATTTTGCCAAAAGGTACCACAGACAATGAAGTAATATTAAGTATTTTTAAAGGCAGATTTCTCTGATAAAGACCTCATTTCTCAAATACATGGGGAACTGAGTCAAATTTACAAAAATAAGAGCCATTCCCTAATTGATAAATGGTCAAAGGGTATGAACAAGAAGTTTTCAGAAGAAGAAATCAAAGCTACCTGTGGTTATATGAAAAATACTCTAAATCACTTTTGTTTAGAGAAATACAAATTACAACAACTCTGAGGTACCACCTCACACCTATTAGAAATGACAAATGCTGGAGGGGATGAGGCTAGAAACTAGGTACTCTAGTAACTAAACTGTTGGCAGAATTGTAAACTGGTCCAATATGCTACAGAACAATCTGGAACTAGGCCCAAAGGGCTATAAAACTGTGTATCTTCTTTGTCCCAGCAATACCACTACCAGCTCTGTACTCCAAAGTGATCAAAGGAAAAGGAAAAGGAAAAGGACCTATGGGCACAAAAATATTTTTAGCAGCTCTTTTTGTGCTGTCAAAGAACTAGAAATTGAGGGGATGCCCTTCAATTGGAGAATGGACAAACAAGCTGTGGCATGTGACTGTGATGGAGTACTATTGTGCTGTAAGAAATGATGAAGGGGTGGTTTCTGAGAAAAACAAGGCAAGACTTCCATGAACTGATGCAAAGTGAAATGAGAAGGCAGATCACGGTGCATGGTAACAACAAGGCTGTAATGATGGCCAGCTGTGAAAGACTCGGCTACTCTGATCAGTACAATGATACAAGACAAATCTGAAGACATCATGACGGAAAAATGCCCTCCGCTTCCAGAGAGAGAACTGGTAAACTCTGAGGGCAAAATGAAGTATAGTGCTCTCCCTTTGACAAATTTTTCGTGCTTTTTTGTGATATAGCTAAAATGGAAATGTTTTACATGATTTCACATGTATAACTGATATCATTTTGCTTGCCTTCTCCCTGGGTGTGGGAAGGGTAGGAAGGAGAGAATTTGGAACTCAAAACCTAAAAAGAAAAGAATGTTAAAAAATAATAAAAACAACACACACATGCACACACATTCACACAAAACCTTTCCTCTTCCTCAACCTTCTAAGTTGGGTTAAAGCCCTGGAGTAGTGTAGGCTCATTTCTTTGTGATTAGGTGGGTGTAGATGGTTAGCACTCTCATTCTTCCCAATTCCCAACTCTGGAGTTGAGAGTTCACTGGGGGAGGGAGGGAGGGAGGGGGAGAGAGAGGGAGAGGGAGGGAGGGAGGGAGGGGAGAGAGAGAGAGAGAGAGGAGAGAGAGAGAGAGAGAGAGAGAGAGAGAGAGAGAGAGAGAGAGAGAGAGAGAGAGAGAGAGAGAGAGAATTTGTATGCACGAGTGTATGGACATGCACATGACAACATTTCACGAACACTGATGCATGGCCTCAGCTTATGAACAGTACAGACTCTGTTACTGGTGTGCTTCTTGGGTTGGTAAAAAGCAGAAGACCGCAAGCCAATGACAGCAGGCACCAGCAGAGGCGCTGAGCAAGGAGGGGTTAATGCCAGGCAGCCTGTTTCAGGACTCATCTGAATGCGATCCTTGAATTTCCCCTCTGGCAGAAGCTTGGTTTATGTTCCATGTAACTGAGTTGCTGCTGTCAGTGCTGGCCTTTGTGACAGTGACTTCAAGATGCCTTTTCAGGCACTATCAGAATCTATCTCTGGGGTGCCTTCGCTCAAGGACCACAGCTTCATTCTCTTTGGCTTATTTAGGACATTTACCAGAACAGATCAGGCGCTTCCTCCCAGCAAGGTCCCTTCTTGACAGCAAGGCCCGATTTTTCTGTCATAAGTAATTATAAATGTACACCTCTGAAAAGACGCCCAATTTGAGGGGCATAATCTATTTCAGATTGTAAATCACACAAACAGCTCCCTCCCCGGGGCAGCCAAAATATACAAGTCAGATTTATGAGCTCTCACTCTGAATTCTCTAGACCTGAAGACAAATGTGGACGCATCATTGCTCTCTCCCTTGGGCAATCAATCAGCAGAAAACTGGCACTTTGGTGGGTTTCACTGTGTTTTTTGTCTTCCTAACTTTAGGTCTTCTGCCCTCTTGTTTAAGACTTGATGCAGAGAATATTCTTAGACAGCCATGATATTAAAGCTGGGCATATGTGGCAGGGCTCAGAAATGTTGATTTCCCAATTTTCAGCAAAAACTGTTTTGTTGATATTTTATCCCTGGGTCCCTAATGGCAATGCTTCCATCCCAGAGCCAGAAATAAATGGTTCACCTGAGCAGAACCTGTCGACAGAGGGGTCTCCGTCTCAGGTTCTGCCTCTTCCTTCTCAAATTTCCACCAGGAACCATCAGAGCTGCATTGCCCAAGAAAAGTGTGTCAACTTGGTGATGCTCAGGAAGCGGTATGAAAATATTAGAATTACTTTCCTGGAAACAATAATTAGAAAGGCGGGAGCACTTCTTTGATTTGTTTCAGCTGTGCATATATCCCATTATAGAAGTACAATAAGTACTAGCTGAAATTAATGATGAAGAAATCAAAGACAATATGTCCTAGCACAGAAACGGCCCTACGTGGCTGGTATTTGGATAGGATTTCCTCATCCGTAAGTGGGGGGGGGGAGGGAGAGCAGGTAGACTAGATGGCCATAGGGCCCACTCCAGCTCCTAAGCTTATTTGTCTAATTCTGATACATTCATTCACTTTCCTTTTCAGCAAACGTCACTATTTAAACTCCCACCTTGAACACTCAGACTTTCTGGGGAATCCAGGTGCTCTGCAGGCTGCTGGCTGGGGGGCACAATAGGTGGACTGAACACATTTAACCAATCCCTGTAAAAAGAGAAATCAAATAGACAATTTTAAACTTCAGAAAATGAAGGTGAGATGCCAATGCATTAAAACAATTAAAAACTGTCCAATGACATGTGAAAGCATTCAATAAACTGCTCTTGATTTAATGATGAATAATAATGACAACTCACATTTAATGTTTAAAAAGTGCTTTTCTTGTAACAAGCCTGGGAGCTAGGGAGTTCAAGCATTATTATTTCCATTTTACAGGTGACAAAACTGAGGATGGGAGAAGTTAAATCACTATCTCCTGACTCCAAGTCCAGGGCTCTATTGCTGGAGAAAATACAGAGCACGTGTAGTGGAGGACCTGACTTAAATCCCACTTAAGCCATTTAATGCTGGAGTGATCTTGGGTCAGTCACTTCACCTTTCTCGGTCTCAGTTTCCTCCCCTTTAATATAAAGAGGTTAGATTATGTAGCCTTGAAGGTCCCTTCCAGCTCAAAATCTATAATCTCATAATGCTCTGATCCTAAGTTGGGCTATTCTGTAACCCAATGGGTTCCCATCTGTTCTAGACCTTCAACCTGAGGGACTCATTTCATATTACCTCCAAATTAGAGAAGCATGCCTCAATATTGTCATTCAGGACCTTGATAAAGATATTAAACAGCACAGGGCCAAGCAGAGATCCCTGGGCCGCTTCACTAGAGACCTCTTCCAAGGTAGCACTGAACCATGAATGGCTACTCTTTGATATGGACAATCAAAGTTATCTCTATCCATTAAGTGATCTAGTATGCTTTTTCTTTTTTGAGGCAACTAGGGTTAGATGACTTGCCTAGGGTCACACAGCCAGTGAGTGTTATGTGTCTGAGGCCAGATTTGAACTCAGGTCCTCCTGACTCCTGGGCCGGTGCTCTATCCACCGCACCACCTAGCTGCCCCTCTGGTACGCTTTTAACACAGGCATGAAAGCGTCTTGTTGGAAGAGGGCCCTCAGTGACGGACTCTGCCCTACCGAGTCAAACAGTGTACTATTTTGCTCTGTCCAGGCAAAAGATGAACTGATTTCTTGATAAGGATAAAATTTCTACGTCAGAGAAAAAACTAAAGTAGAGCCTTCTCTATGACCTTCAGATCAGCAGGTCTTGACAAGACGGTAACGTCTCCGTTTCACTCATCGCGCAGCAGCACTACTCTGAAGTTCCCACACGGGAGCTCTGTCTCACGGACATCCGTGTCCACAGAATTCATCAGCCCGCGTCTGTGAGTGGCGAACAACTCTGTGCCTCGGCAGGCTGGGCCTCCGACGGCAGACACTGTCACCGGGACTGTAGCTGACAGCTCTTTATTTCGCTCTCTGCCATTGCTTACGTCTCGCCGGCAGAGCCTTCAAGAATCCAGGGTCACCTAGGCATCCGGATGAGTCACAAGAGGGTGAATTTTGTGGAGGATAAAAGGCGAGAAATGGCAGAGGTGTGGCCTCTGCTTTACAAGGATCCGCTTCCATCACTGATGACAGTCCCCACGTAGGCTCAGCATTTGATACTCTCAGTAAGTGGAAAATGGCATTCAAGAAAAAGATGGTGGCGAGAGCATCGGGCCCAAACCAAGGACGCACAGAAGAGGCCGTGACAAAAGGAAGACAGTTCTGAAGAAGTGGAAGACATCAAATGATGGTGAAAAAAACACATGTAACATTCAAAAAGTGATCTAGAGGACATTAGCAACTCCTGATTCATATATATACTCTGTTATTTATGTAAAACCTTTATGAGAAGGACTCATTATCAGAGGTATGACAATGAAAATACACTAGGGGAACAGACAAGTGCTCAACTTCACAGCCACATGAGCCGATCTGTTATGAAAGATGAATAGGAAGACAGAGACAAGAACCCTAGCACACGAGAAAGCATGGGGCGGGGGATGGGCGCCTTTATTTTTGAGATCTCTAACCTATTCAAATTACTGAGGGAGGAGACTCACTCCTCAAGTTATCCTAATAGTTGACGTATTCCAGAATCCAGACTCTTGAATACAGCACTTCAGTATATATTGAAAATATACATTAGTGACCATACAGCCTGAACTCAGTGAAGCGCATCGTTGCACAAATACCTTCAGGGAGTCAGAGGGACAGATGGTGGAGGCAAGGCAGAACCAGGCTCTGGACACACCACAAGGGCCCTCTTCCTTCGATCTCTTTTCTTCCCTCCTTATTTTTGTCTCCATTCCACCATGATTCCAAAGCAGAGACTTGGGTTTGAATTCCTCCTGGGCTACTTGGTACTTTGTTATCTGGAGAAGGTCCCTTAGCCTGTCTGGGCCTCAGTTTCTTTAAAATGATGAGGTAGGACTGGATGACCTCTGATGGCCTTTCCAACTCTTTTGTATCCCTAGCACCGAGCAGTGTCTGGCACATAACAAATTCCTAATGAATGCTTATCAAATTGACTGCATACAGATGAAGGAAACAGAAAAGTAAAAAGCAATGATCACACGTCTACCAATGTGGGGGTGGTGGGGTGGTGGTGCGGAATGTGTATCACGTTTAGCTGTGGGAAGGGACTGAGCTGGGACAGAAAAAGGGATTCAGCGGGATCACCACATGTTTATTTTCACACGGATGACCCACTCTAAATTTCTGTATTTCTTAGAACCTCTGATTATAATTTAATGTATCATTAAATTTCCAGAGTAATTTGGTGCTAAACTGCCTCTATTCCTGCCTTTCTACCCACTTGCCCCCCAAAGTCCATTTAAGTTCACTTGCAGGTTTGGAATCAAGTAAATTAAACTACAGACGGCAATGTGGTTCTAAGTCTTTCTGGGAGTGGCTTTCCCTAAAATACCATCACTCACCCTGCTGATGCAGAATGACTGTAATGGGCAAATGACCCGCTCTTGCCGCACCACATTTCAAGATACCTTTCTCTTCCTGTTAACCCCAGCTATCAATAGATTATAGACAGGAAAATGAGTACGGCGAGCATGCTGTGTAATTGAATTTCATAGTAACACACTAAGGAAAGAAGAAAGGATTTGTCCTGGACTTTCATGCTAATAGGGCACTTTCTGATAAGCACCTTTTATTTAGTCCATTTAATTATAGCAGACTAAGAAATTTCTACTTTACAGAAAATTTACCAAGGTTACATACAAATTGCTAACATAGTGACCTCATTAGTCACTAGAAATGATGAAGGGCAAGGATTCATGGCAAAAAAGAGAAAGTTATATAATCCTACCAAGGAACCCCCAAAGACAAATTATAAAGCCCAGCCACTGGTGACATTTGCTGTAGGAACATATGCATGACTCCAACAGAAAATTCAAACAATTCACTACAGGTGGCTATGAATTATTAATGTGAAAACTGAGGAAGGTCATAGAGAAAGCCTGTCCTCCTTAATCTGACAACTCTACTAATACATTCCCCTTTATTCAGAATCAAAACTCTGAAAGTTAAGAGCTCCTTTAACTTAACTAACTTAGGATTTTACACCAGGACACAGAGCACTGAGACTAGAGTCAGGCAGATCTGAGTTCAAATCTGGCCTCAGAAACTTCCTGGTTGTGTGATCCTGGGAAAGTCATTTAACCTCTTGTTTGCTTCAGTTTCCTCAACTGTAAAATGGAGATAATAATAGCACCTACCTCTCAGAGCAGTTGTGAGGATCAAATGAGATCATATTTATAAAGTGCCTAATACAATGCCTGGCAAACAGTAGGCACTTAATTAATGCTTATCCCCTCTGAGTGCCCTAGGCAACTTTGTAAGATATATGGCCCAGAGAAGGCAGTGACCTACCTTAGCAAGTAGGGTTACCTCATCCAGGAAGTCAAAATGACAATCCCAACTGCTACCACCTGTTTCCTGCATGCATCTATACTGGGCGCCGAAGGAGCCTTTAGAGATCATCTCATTTAACCTTATTGTACAGATGAGCAAAGTCTGAATAGGCGATTTAGCTGCTTCCATAGAACTACAAAGGGCTTAGAGCACCCATTTCTTTACTGTGGCTTCTTCCTCTCCGACTTATACTTTCCCCACACACTATGGCTAAAAGAGACTATGTCGCCCACTCACATCAATGTCACATATGATGCATGTCTGCAGTATGTAAAAGGCTTGGAGTCACGGTGCAAATATATGTGGGGCATTACCCTCAGCCTATTCCTCCAGCAAAAAGGACAACAACAATATTGTATGGTAAGTGTTAATACTACCTTCCAAACTTACATTAGCTAAACAGTTCATTAATAGTATGGCTTAAAAAAGTCAAGGAAAAATGTACCACCTGGTTCTCACTGGCATCACTAAACTTTTCAAACCCTTAATTATTAGCAATGTCATTTTGTATGTGATGACCCTGTAAGCTCAGTTAGGAAGAAGAGGCTTTCAGATTTTCTTGTCAATGTTAAGGGTGACCAGTTTAGAGTAGCCAGAATATTTTTAGCCATAAGCATAGATACTGCACATATATTCAAGGAATAGGTTGGATCATGATATAAAGTGAAAAACATCCCATTATTAATATGTTTATTCTTCTTCTTGTGCTCCCAATTCCACTACAATAAAAACATCTGAACACATTATAACCTGCCTTACCCTGTTAATTGGTTCTGTGAAAACATGATGTCAGGCAAACCCATGTTTCCGGGAGCAGTTAGCAGCACCAGAACAACATTCTAAATGGCTGATTAGCCAATGTTACCACAAGGTAATTACTACTTTAAGGCTGGGTTTGCTTATACTGTATTTAACGCTGTTAGTGAAAAACAGGAACTTGGTGCTGCTGAACTCTTTTTAAGGACAATTTCTTGATAACTTTTGAACATGAGACTCTCAGACAAACATCAATTGTAACAATCAGAACCAAAAGTTGTGACCATATACACACACCAGAAGCTCTTAATCCATTCTCTCCTGAAGGATGAACCAAGCACTTCCTAAAATGGGGCTCCGAGCTCGGAGAGAGGTAGAGGAAGATACAAAGAGGAGGATGGCACATCCCGGCCCACAAGAAG